CCTCTCTCCCATTTAACCCTCTCTTCCATTTAAACGTCTCTGCCAATTAACCCTCTCTTCCATTTAACCCTCGCTTCCATTTAACCCTCTCTCCCATTTAACCCTCTCTTTCATTTAATTCTCTCTCCCATTCAACGGTCTCTGAAATAATATAGCTAAAACCTTATATCAGATCAAGAAAAAAAAATAAAATTAAAAAAAAATAAAAGTTTAACTAAGATAATAAAATATTTTTAAAAATTAGTTCATAAGCTCATAAAGTATTTAGCTAAGATCAAAAATCATAACAAGATAATGGAAGCAACAATAGCGCGTTTACACTCACTGCAGCATCGACTGATCGTCACTGCGTTTAGAGATCGCAGTGGCAGGTGAAATTGACCGAAACAACTAAAACTCGATCAGAAGAAAAATATTATTTTAAATCTAACGAAGCAAAGCGCCATCGGTAAATTTCATGTCGAATCGGCACAACAACCATTCTTTCGTTAATTAATTCGTCTAAAATTCATACATCGTGAACCCTAATATTGCAGAGTCAAAGGGAGCTCGCTGATTCTGACTGCAGCTTCTATTTATTATTTTAAAAAAATCTTCACCTGATCGCGCTGATGCCGTTATATCATAGGCAACGTGTACTGCACCCGCACTCAGAGAAATGCGTGAGATTTGTCCGGATAGCTATGCAACCCTTGCCCCTGTGTGGGTTACATATATGCAGTTACCCGTTTTGGCTCGGTAAAAATATCGTATCAGGAATTTAAAAGCAAAGAAAATCGTCAAAAAATTCACCATTTCTTATAAGAGAAAATGTTTCGGAGTCCAGCTCCATCGTCAGTTCAAAACCTAGAACACAGATACAAACAATTAGTAACCTAAAATTCACATTCAAAAAATTTACCTAAACTTAAGGACATTAGAACCAAAATCGAAAATAAAACAAGCATAAATGAGACAACATGAGCAGAAGGTACTATCTATTTACAATTTGTAGAGGATAGGAACTAAAGGCAGCATTTAAACTGGGCTTCTGTTTGAAAATATACAATGATTCTAAAATTCTTAGGTCTGAAACACCGGTTGTGGAAGCTAAAACCCTCAAATCACTATTGGACACCGGGACGTCGCACTGCTCGGCATGAATACGTACGGCTGAATGAGGGGGATGCGCAAGTATGTTCCCTGTTCTATAACTCCTGCCTCTATGCTCTGCAAGCCTCGTATAAAAATTGCGCGATGTCACATCGACGTACTCAGATGCGCACTGCGCACAACTATATTGATAAACTAGGGATGGTCGCATAAGAACAGGGATTGGTTCTTGGTACTTGAAACACGGGCTAATTTTAAAATTGTTCACCAGCAAGAAATGAGGATTCACATTCGGGAGGTATTTAGAGAGTAGATCTTTTAATTCCTTTGCCATAGTCTCAGATGTGGGGCCAAAGTAAGGAAAAGAACAATAAACACCATTCCCATCGTCACGCTCGGGAACAACCTCAGCATACTGCTTAGACCAGACTTTCTTAATTTGAGTATATACCAATTGTTATGGAAACCCATTTAATGAAAAGATACTGCGCAAATGTTCAAATTCAATGTGCATAGCATGGAAAGTAGAGCAAATTTGCAAGCCGCGGTTTAATAACGTTTGAATCCCATTTAATTTGAAAAGAAATGAACAAAATCTAAAAAAGCTGGTGGTTAAGCCGGTAAACATCGATTTTCGGTAAACAGATGTCGGGAAACGGCCATCAGATTTTACGACCTTGCAATCAAGAAAAGATAAACTATTGTTGGATTCAATCTCCATTGTAAATTTGATGGATTTGTGTTGTCATTTGATGTAGAAAATTTGTTTACTAACATACCCCTTTCTGAAACTATCGAAATTTGCCTCAATTCTTTGTTTAAAGGTGTCAATGAACTTGTCATAGGTTTGAACCACAACTTTTTTATATCTCTTCTTGAGTTATCAGTTTAAAACTCTGTTCTTGTATTTGCAGGCAAGTTTTATAGACAAATTGACGCTTTGGGCATGGGTCTTCCTCTTGGCTCTACCTTGGCCAATATTTTCATTGCTTTCACGAGGCTACATGGCTGGCCAATGGTCCTACTGATTTTAAGCCAATTTTCTATAACCGATATGTAGATGATACTTTTTTAATTTTCAAGCATCCCTCTCATGTCTGCCTTTTCTTTGATTATCTCAATCGCCAACACAAATCCATCAAATTTACTATGGAGATTGAATCCAACAATAGTTTATCTTTTCTTGATTGCAAGGTCGTAAAATCTGATGGCCATTTCCAGACATCTGTTTACTGCAAAACCGACGTTTACCGACTTAAGCACCATATTTTTTTTTTCTCTTCAAATTAAATGCGATTCAAACGTTATTAAACCGCGGCTTCCGAATTTGCTCTACTTTCCATGCTATGCACATTGAATTTGAACATTTGCGCAGTATCTTTTCACTAAATGGGTTTCCATCACAATTGGTGTATACTCAAATTAAGAAATTCTTGTCTAAGCAGTATGCTGAGGTTGTTCCCGAGCGTGACGATAGGAATGGTGTTTATTGTTCTATTCCTTACTTTGGCCCCGCATCTGAGACTATGGCAAAAGAATTGAAAGATCTATTCTCCAAATACCTCACGAATCTTCATGTATTGCTGGTGAACAGTTTTAAAATTAGCTCGTTTTTCAAGTACAAAGATCATTTCCCTGTTCTTATGCGATCATCCCTAGTTTATCAATATAGTTGTGCGCAGTGCGCATCTGCGTGTGTCGGTATGACATCGCGCAATTTTTATACTAGGCTTGCAGAGCATAGGGGCAGGAGTTATAGAACAGGGAACATACTCGCGCATCCCCCTCATTCAGCCGTACGTATTCATGCCGAGCAGTGCAACGTCCCGGTGTCCAATAGTGATTTTAGAGTTTTAGCCTCCACAACCGGTGTTTCAGACCAAAGAATTTTAGAATCATTGTATATTTTCAAACAGAAGCCCAGTTTAAATGCTGCTTTTAGTTTCTATCCTCTACAAATTTTAAATGGATAGTACCTTCTGCTCATGTTGTCTCATTTATGCTTGTTTTATTTTCGAATTTGGTTCTAATGTCCTTAAGTTTGGGTAAATTTTTTAATGTGAATTTTAGATTATTAATTGTTTGTACCTGTGTTCTAGGTTTTGAACTGACGATGGAGCTGGACTCCGAAACGTTTTCTCTTATAAGAAATGGTGAACTTTTTGACGATTTTCTTTGCTTATGACTTCCTGATAAATTTGGGATTCAAACAACCAAATAATCTTTAAACTAATATCTTATCAGTACTATATACGTGCAAAAGTATGACACTTATTGGACAGTATGACCCATTCATGTTTCCGAGTGCACACGATGTTTGTTAGAAGTGCACTGTCATGTACATTTGAAGCGAATCCTTCATATTACAGTAAAGATGAAACTAATTAATTATTTAATTAAATCGAAGTCCAGCAATATACTTAAAGACGTTCTTCAACTCACTCTTGTCACCTGATGAGTAATGTTATTCAATATACAAGTTAACCTGATATGTGACGTCAGGATAATATCTATCGTGTTCCACTGAATCGACATTGAGATAAAGCGTCGTCACAGAGACCATTCAATCGTCGTTGAGTTACGATGCGTACTGAGTTCTGTTCTTCATATGTTCTGGGTTGTATGTCTGCTATTTCATTCGCTTTTATTCTGGTAAAATTTTCACTTTCAATTCGGTAAAAATTTTCATGAGAACGTCAAAAAATTTCACGCGTTGTCAACAAAACTTTTTTGTCGGAGACCAATCTTCAGTCGACCATACAAACAAATATTATCAGCATTAAATTGTGCTGATAATATTGTCTTCCGTTGACCAAGCATACATATATTATAAGCATTAAATTGTGCTGATAATATGTCTTCAGTTGATCAAGCATACATATATTATAAGCATTAAATTGTGCTGATAATATGTTTTAATTTTACCAAGCATACATATATTATAAGCATTAAATTGTGATGATAATATGTCTTCAGTTGACCCAGCACATATATATTAGAAGCGATGAATAATGCAGATAGTATTTTCTTCTGTTGACAATGTAAACAAATACGATAAGCACAGAATTATTGGGTTGTCTCCTTCATCGAAATGTTCGTTAAATCAAGGAAGTGCGTAATAAAAATAACAGATTAGAATAATATATATTTACGAGCGCAGCCCATGTTGCAATACCTGAATAATCTATAGATCCACATTAGTTTTCAAACTCCAATGAAAATCTCTGACGATCTAATACGAGAAAATAGTTAAATTTCCCAAAATTTAATGACTATCTTTAAATTTAAGGATCATTTTCAACATGATCACTTGTGTTGACCATGATCTAAAAATTATCATTGCGTACACATTCAATAAACTGATAACTATTTAATCATATAAGCAAAATTAATGAAAGATCTCATTTTATAATAAATTGAAATCTACTAAATTAAGGGTGAGAAATTTCAGCATATAACGTCACATTTCAAAATTCAACAGCAAAAAATTAATCAACTTTCATACAAAAGGGTAGAAATGTACTCGAAGTAAATGTTTTATTATTCCAATTCTTCCCATATAACACTTACTCCATTATTTCAATAGATTTTGTTCTCCTAATCGAATTATTCATCTTTTTGCCACTTTTATTTAATTTTTATTAATTCATATTTTCAGTTCCCTTTCACAGATCACTTTCCAAACATCTCTCGCAGAGATTAGACTACTCCTAAATGAGAATCCATTTTCAGCTCAATGACATCGTCTGAAGACATCGTGTCAACAACTGCTTTAGAAAATATGCTGCCTGTTATGTTTCGTTACAAATACATGTATATCACGAGGAGAGTTTTGGTCTCATAACGAACTAAAATTTGCTTCAGCCGCCGCGTATATTCAGTCGTGATACGGAAAAATAGTCATAAGATCCGTCCATTAAAACGTTGTATATAGGCAGGGGTCATGAGCACATGTTATTTAAATTATTTGAATATTCTACTCAGATTTATAATAATTTGTGAGTCTTTAATAATTAATAAGTAGGATTGAGAAATACCATGCGGCATTAGGCCAGAAAATTGAATAATGCTCTTGCTGGCCGTTACCCTCTTGACAAATGTAAATCAATGACCAATGTAAAACAAGAATTAATGGCCAATGATAGTCAAGAAATAATGCTCAAATTGAATCATTAATTATTGACCAGTGTAACTAGAGAACTAATGACAAATATTAATCTAGAGTTAATGAACGTAAATCTAGATTTAATACCCAATTTACATAAAGAATTAATGACCAATGTAAATCAACCAAAATCTAAATTCGCTAGCGCAACAATGATCTTTCTTGCACATGAGGGCCATAATAGCTAGTTACTAACACCGCGTACTAATTTTTATGCTGCACCGCAAGTGAAAGCATACAAACATGGCAAGGCGTTTCACTGTATCTCTTATATGTATTGTCCCTTGCATTATATATAAAGTAAGATGGGAGGGACTCATTTTTGAAGGATTAAATTCAAAAAGTATGAACAATGAAAATTTGAAAAAATTATGAACTAAACACAAACATAAATTTATAAGAGAATTATAATCATTTTTCCGAAAGCATATGGTATAATTGAAAGCATATGGTATAAGTGAAAGCATATGGGATAAGTGAAAGCATAAGGGATAAGTAAAAATTTCCTCATAAGTTTTTGTAGAATATGATTTTAATGTGAAGCCTTCATCGTATAAATGTTACTGAGCTTTCTGAGTGGATATAAGCAGGGTATCGATGCACACCCTGCGCGGTATTAGACAAGCAGGGTATTGAAGTAAACACCACTTGCCTAGAATTTCATGAACCTACATTAAAATAAGTAATAACACCAGGCTGGCAACTGCATATAACAAATATTGGAAATAACACCTTTATTTGGTCTACTCCTCGCAGCCTGTACCCCGAATTGAGTGCTTCTTATGAGGTGGTCCAGCGACATTAGTTGTATCGATTTTTTAGCTCTTTATATCTACTAATGACGAAATAAACTGTTCGATGCACATCACTACAAGAACTCAATAAATAATCTAATGTTCCTTAATATAATTTACTACATATTCTAACTAGAGATCAAATGTACTACTGTGGATTACCTAGAGAAAGGTGCACCTAGCTCTATCTAAATGCTAGCTTAGCAAAAACCAAAAAACTACAACAGCTCCGACTAACTTTAATCTCGTCTCATAAATGCTGCACAATCATCAATAATAATAATAGCATAAGGGTAGAAGGAACATTTTTTATATTGGTAGTTCATTAGCAACTGCAACAACGCTTCCCAATATAATCTTACCAGTTATTTTCCTTGTCCGTTAAAGCAATAGAATTAATCTAAAAAACTTGCGACGGTAGAATTCAAATTCATTTTTGACTAAAATCGGGGATGTTTCAGTATTTGAGTTAATTTTCGATGAAGGTTAATGTCCGTGATTTATAAATTTAATCTTTAATATTAACAAGGAAGTTCAAGGAACTAATGCGTAAACAGAAAATTGCGTGAATAGTCTCACGTCAATGGCATTTGGAATTGAGAAACTGACAATAATTAGAAATAATACAAACTCAGGTGATTCAAAATAACTGAATGAGTTGACGTAAGAATTTTGTCGATAATTTAACTTTAACGAACCACCCTTTAAAAACGCAGCGTTTAGGTGCGCAGATCGATCATTAACTTCAGTTGAATATATTTCGTGCATTGTTATATACGGCGAAAAACTATATTGTTTGTATAAGTGATATTAGTAACTTTAGTCCATAACTTAGGATAAAACCAGTGTTAAAAATAAGGATCTTACGAAAAAATATCAGAATCACAAAATTTCTTACCCTGCTTAGAAACGCACTAAATTTTATTTAAACTCAAACCGCTGCCAACTTAACGCGTTCAAATGTATGAATTTCATATATACTTAATTACGATGAATAAGGAGTCTCGAGAAATAGTATGCGGCATTAGGCCAGAAAATTGAATAATGCTCTTGCTGGCCATAACCTGCTTCCTTACCTTACGATCAATAACAAATAAAGGTATAGTTCACTTCTGAACTTCTCAAATCACACTTAATGCATAAATTACGAATTAAATTCAGGAACTTAACAGGATTCTAATATAATCTACAACCGTGTTTTAGCGGAACTGAAACTCCCTGCAGTTTCTGCACCTACAGATCTAAAATGTATCACATCAGCGCCGTTATCTTAACTCTAAGTCAAGCGCTGCAACATTGCCTGATGTATCCCAAGAATGGCTTAGGCAGAAATAAATTTTTCTTGCAGAGTTACATTTAACTAATTAAAATTCCGCCTTATTTCGATTTTCCTTGCCAGGTTAGGTTTATATTGAGTTCACACTTGACAGTAATAGCCGTTGCTGTTGATTCATTCGAAACGAAATAACTCGTTGATTCATTCGAAATGAAAAACTCGCCAATTGTTTTGAAAATCCTACATTTCTACAAACATTTTCAGATAAAAATATACAGAATAACAATCATTTTAAGATAATTAACACATTGCAGATGCTAAAGTTAATTCAAGAAGAATGAGAAGGAAAATATTTCGCGATTGCTAAGCGCAAACAGTATTATGTTTACAATATAAAGGATGCATTTTGAACAGTTTAGGTCCAGGGAAAAGATAATAGCATTAAACCAGCCATTAAACAAAACAATCAAATAATATATATTGGTAGATATTAATCAAGTTCTCACCGCGAATTCTGGTCGCCTAAAAACGCTCGTCATTCAAATCCTTTAACATGATTGCCTCAAGGTGTAAAATAGAAATCTTACAAAAGCATAAATTTCAAATACAATCATTTTAAAATTAAAAATAAAATTTTTCGTTCGGTGGTCGTGAAGTAGATATCATTTACCCCTCATAAATGCACTATAGTTATACCTTACCACAACTTTCGAACTATTCTATTGTGTCTTCAAAAACATCGTCAGCGTAATCCATAATTCTGAAAATTTTTGTTAATGGAGCACCAGGAATATTTTCCGTCGCTTGAAGACGATTTGCATCTTTGAATTCTGTAGCTTTTTCAGTAATTAAATCCGAACGTGGCTCGGCCTCTGATTTTACGCGAGCCTTACTAGCCACACGAAGTTTTCCTGTGTTGGCAAACTCTGAGGCGTCATGGCCGACATCTTGATTCAATTGATACGGATTTTTTGTACGGTGAAATTCAGTATAAAATTCAGGTCTCGTTTGGTAATTGGTAGTGGTAGTGATTGTTCGACTGGCAGAAAATTCCACGGAGTTGTTTTCACCTTTGATATTTTTGACGTGGCGGTTCACGTGGGAAGCGTTGATTTCAGACCCATTTTGAGTGTCTACGCGATGTTGTTCACTCGAGTTGAGAGAGAACATACCAGTTCTCTCAAGTGGGTGTCTCGAGATCATCCGGAAAACCTGAAAAATTTAGATAGTAAGGAACATTATACTATTTCTACTTTTTCTCCAAATAATATAATATAGTATACAGTAATAAAGTAGTTTTATTACTATATACTGCTATTATTGGTTTCGCGTCTCCAAATTTATTTGAGACGCGATTGGTTTTGCGTCTCCCAATTTAAAATCTTATAGTGACAAACAGCTACCTCAATCATGATTTTACTAATTGCATTTTTTTAGCTTGACTTTAAGGTCATTATCGAAATGAAGAGAATAAAGAGAAATACCTCCAGGAGTATCCGAGAAAATCGCTTTTCCAATAATGCATTCATATTTTCAAATAAAACTGTAGGTATCTATAATAACTTCAATCTGTATCCACAACACTCTATGTACATGAATGAATACATGTGATGAATTCTCTGGTCATAAATTGTACGCATCTAATCATTACCCTTTGTTTTTACTAACTTTTTTTCAAAATTTCAAATTCAAGTGTTGCAAAACTTTTCACCTACTTGATCTTGAATGTAGTTGCATTTGAAATGTCCAAAATAATAATAAATGTCCCATGGAAACAATATATTTGAATATTCAAGTCATATCTATAATGCCCAATTCGCTGAATAGTGAAAAACAAAACGAACATTTTCAGAGACACACTCTCTGGTCTTCAATGAAACCTGAATCATTAAAAACTATAAAAACAACTATCCATCCTTACACATATGCTTGGATATGCGATGCCACAATGCTCTATTCATAGCACAACTGCTAACAGTTAAAAACATATTCCTAACACAATCAAGGTCATAAATCAATGCCCCCTTATGTAAACTTTTCGAGGCATGCTGTCTTCTCACAAAATTATGCAGGGCAAATCCAATGTTAGTGAAAAACATATTCAATGGGTTGGATTCACGGCGAGTGCCGTGAAGACTGACCTGTTTCCGATATTAGAAATAATAACTGATGCGCGCCTAAACATCAAAGAAAAAACATGATTTAAAACTAGCAAAATTCAATACAATTTTGTCCCTTGAGACTCAAATCCGCATTGACTTAATTAATGGATTGTATTACTCACAGGATTGTATAAATCGCCGGATATTTTGATTCACCAAATTGTTTGACTTACCGGATTGTTTGACTAACTGGCTTGTTTAACTCACCGGATTGTTCGACTCACCGGATTGTTCGACTCACCGGATTTTTCGACTCACCGGATTGTTTTTTCTGCTTCTGTGGGATGGTGAGTAGGAAGCGTATAGAGGCGCTTGACCAGGTCCAGGGATATTTTTTCTAACATCATCATCACTATCGAAAACAATATTTACTACCTCATTAAATCCCTTGTGTTTGTTTACATCTTCTAACGGTTCAACATTGAATCGCTGGTATTTATATACTTCTTTTACCGGTTCAACATTTGAATTGGTGGAGTCGTATTTTTTAATAACCTCCTCTTGTTTAAGCATTGAAGTGAAATTGTGCAAATTTGATTCTTTCAAGTAAATTTTGGATATATTGCCGTATTTTTCAAAATTCAAAAGACTTCCCCCGTCTGAACTATTAAATTTTCCCTCGTGTTTTTGATTCGTTGTAAAAACAAGTACGTTTGGCACCGAGTTGCTACGACCAGCAATTGGAGTATTTTCGGAATCAATTTTTGTTCTGTTTTGCACCGGAAATTCTTTTCGATATAATTCTTTTCCCTCGGTTCGTTCATTTCCTGAAGGTTCTAAAGCCTTCCTTAGGCTACGATAATCTTTTAAAAGAATGCTCGTCCTTTCCTGTTGGTTTTCCACTGTCCTAACCTGAGAAAAATTTTGTCGAAATTTTTGGGTGTTGTCAAGATGAAGAAAATCAGGAGTCATTGGGCGAGTTCTTACTTCTTTTATAACTCCAGAAGATAACCCAAAGCTACGCAACCGAGACTGGTAAGCACCAGAGTTTAGGCCAGGATACTCCTCAAACTTTGAAATGTTTTTCCTCGTGAACTGAAATTTTCTGGAAGTTGAGTTGTTTTGACTGGCAGGGCTTCCCTGCGACGTCCAAGCCTCCGCTCGCGGCATCTCCACTTCTCCCACAGCTTCTGAAAAGAACGGAATATTTAGCGTTGAAATATTCACAGATTTTATGTTTACAAGAAATCAAGAAACACTAAGAAATAGAAAATTTTATTCGATGTAATACGAAGCTAATTTTACACTGTTCTCATTGGATCAATTTCGATTCGACTTTTTCAGAGCATTTTATTGCCTGACAATAATCAATGCCCTCCATCAAAAAAAGCCTTAAAGCTTGAGTAAGTAATAAAAGATATGCGTTCGAAATAGCCTGCACTCATTGAAAAAGTCTGCTAAATTTTATCAAAAGTTTTCGTTACATCAGAATTCCTTTGGGACTATTTTCTGCAATATACTGTATATTCCACTCGTGATTTGGTGGTATTTAATAACTGAAAACCCGCATACTTAATGTGACCGTGTGAAGGACATCCTCAAGCGTGTAAAAACTTCCTTCAGAAAAAAAACAAGAATTTTCTCGAGCCGTACCACGTCAATTGGTAGTCAGGATACGAGGGGTTGTACCAACAGTAGATGCCGATTGAACGACCTCAGGCCCGCTCTGTCTTGAACCACCCTCTGACTCATCTTCGGTCATTGACATTACATTGGGCGGGTTAGAATTTGGTCGCAAGTTATTGATATTTTTCAAAGAGGATCTTAAGTGGGCCATCTTAAATGGTTTGCGGTGTACTTCTTGATCATGGGACATTTCTGGTAATTTTTCGCTTGGCGTCTCTAAACTTCGTAGAACTATTGTTTTTGGTCGTTCGCCATGAAATGTGTTATCTTTTGTTTTCAAGACTGTGGGATGAATATTCTTCTCCGACTCTTGTTCTGTATCCTTCGAAAATTCACGTAGAAATTGAAAATTATTGCGGATATTTGCTTCATCACTGTAAATATCAGATGCGTTTACAGACTTGAATGGCAATCGAGCATCAGGTTTCTCCCTTGAAAGCTCTTTGAAAGAGTCAAACTTTGCGCTTTCCATAAATTCACTGTTGCTCGGATGAAATCCAACTCCGGATGATTTTTCTCTTTCCGACGCCGCTGGAGGAGGGAGTGAATGGAGTGAATCCACATAAAAATCATCAAAAGAATTAGCCATCAAGTCTCTTTTGGCCATTTCTCTTCTTTGGACTTGAGACAAATACTGCGGAGGTTTCGCAACCTCGATTTGTGGGTCCCAGAAGATGATGTAATAAAGCGAAAGTAGGAACCCTCCTCCAGAGACCCCCATGAGGTAGACCACGACAGTCACTATCCTCACCGCCTTCTTCATCATGGCTGCCTTTCGGTCCTTTTTTCGTTCCTCGTCTGTTTTTTCAACAATTTCATCGACTGCGTTGTCATCTGCCGCATTTTTTTGGTTCCCTCCGTGAACCTTGTTTTTGGTTTTGTTTCTATCATCTGTCTTACTTCCTGCCGCCATTCTTTGATGACGAGTTTCTTTATCTGTTCAACTTTTTAGATTATGTTTACACAGTCAAGCTCTCAAATGTGTGGTTCTTAATTCCTAGTGCAATCAGAGAACTTGTAAGACCCACAAACAACGTTCGTTTCTCAAGGTTGAAAATTTATCTTTAAATGTTGGAAATTGTGTCTAAATATGATACAAATGAAAGGAATGAATGATAAATTTTGAAATTTTGAAATGGAAAAAAAGTTCAAATATAAAAATTAATTTATTTATCGCAGACAGCTTTCAATCTTGAAATTCGATAATAAATCGGTTCACTTGAACCTTTCATTGAATATTTCCAGTTTATTTTAAAGTGCCAATAGTTCAAGATATGAGGTTGCAAACAGCAAACCAAAAATTAATAATTATTTGATTTTTAGTTTACTTTTTCTGACAAATCACAATGTATTTATTAAGTTTTTTTAGCATATATAAGTAATATAATTTTCAAAACTTCACTTTTAATTTAATACACGTTTAATAGTTTGTACATAAATCAAAAAAATATCTCTAGAAAAATTTCGTATATTGGGTAGTTGGAAATTCGCGAGATTGATCCATCACAGAACGGAGAGGCTGGTAAGACGGTGGCAGCAGAACTGACGGCAGCTCAGGTGGTGAAGCCGTACGTGCTGGCGGCTGGAAAAGAGAAGCCCTAGTAGATCCTTCATAAAATCTTTATGATAAATGTTTGTTAAAATCAAATATAAATCGAATTCGTCCTTGATTTACGTCTATTGGCAAAACCCTGAGAGTTTTTTTTTTTTTTGCTTTTTAAGTACATTCTCCGCACTGCGGAATAAGTTTGCATTCATACCATTGAAATCGAACTGGAACATTTTTCTTACTCCGTGACCACGTATAAAATGATTCAATTTAATGAATAAATTGTCTGAAAATATTTTTATTAAACACATTCATTTGTCCGGTCTCGGTAGTTACGTCGATGTTAATGTCCGTTGGATACGTTATCAAATATAACAAAGCAATCTCGAGCTGGTCATCATATCAATATTTTCGCTCTATAATTGAATGTAATAGAACCACAATTGCTGACAAATGTTTTACTTCATGGCTAAGTACATTGTTTTAGATGTTTTCCGTAAGGAACAATGTCTTGATAAATGTTTCTCTAATTGAAACAGCTTTTCAGGCAGGAAAATGCTTCTCAATTATTCCCCCCCCCCCAAATCTAAATCAATAGATAATCTTCGGTTTGAATTTGAATGGAAAAACTACGTTACGTCAGTGTTGAGACACGTATTTCTTGCTATATTATCCGGCAAAAAAATTCAGTGTTATATCGATTATTTTGATTTTTTATCTGTTATCACTATTGTGATAAAAAGAGTATTATTATAATCTTTCAAACGCATTTCATCCATCACATAAAATTTTTAAAGCCGTTTTGACAGTTCAAATAACTGAATGCAGTTAGATTTTAATGTGCTGAATAAAAATTTTATAATATTTCAAACTAGCAGTTCAGCCCTGCGTTGAGCGAGCTCGATGATGCCTGCAATTTCGAAATCTTGTTTTTCGAAATCGAGTCATTTCCGTAATCCCTAATTCCGTTTATAATGATAAAGCTTATTTATCCTAATTAAATAAAGAATCTATCAAACCCACTTTTTTGCAAAAATGACAGAACTCCCATCGTACTCTTGTTTCAAAACACGGAAAACACAATTTGCGTTTTTACAATTCAATTTTATTTACTATTTGCCAATAAAATTTCAATTGTTAATCCAATCCTCTCCTAATATCCTTCTAAGAATAAAATTTCAGGTACAGGTAGCTAGTATCGCTACACAATATGCATCCTGAATAAGCTTTTAAACATCCTACATATTAAGTAATAAAAAAATATAGTAATAATATCGATAATATTAATATTAGTAAATAGTAATAATATTTGTGGTGCCATACTTCAAACGTACACTCAAACCTTGTTACATTCGTCCATATTCAGGGTCCGCCATATTTATGGCAACGCAGGTTTTTTGTTATTTCTCAATGAAACAAACAGGTGCATTGTTTTGTCTATTGGATGAGCTAGTAGCCAAGAATTATCTAAACAATTCTCAGACATATTTATTCAATATGACCACCCTTATTTTTAATGACGGCCTTCAATCTACGCGGAAAAGCTTCACAAGAGACACGCAGCATTTCTTGAGGGATCAAGTCCCATTCTCGTGTCAATTTGGACTTCAAACTATCCAAAGAATCATGAGATGTTCTGCAGACCCTACTCTCTAAAATAGCCCACACAGAAAAGTCGAGAGGATTCAAATCAGGGCTTCTTGAGGGCCATTCATTTTTGCTAATGAACGCTGGGATGTGACCCTGAATCCAGTTTTGGGTCATTTTTGAGCCACGTGATGCATCACGTTATGGGGCAGAGTCATGTTGAAAACTCCATGGTGAGCCGTTGAAGTGTTTACGGGCCCAAGGTAACAACACAGCTTCCAAAATGTCCGAAATGTATCGCTGACTGTTCAATTTCACTCCTGAGGGGACAAAAACGAGTGGGGACCTCCCAGTGGCGGTTACCGCGGCCCAAACCATCACGGACATGGGATTTTGACGTCGTGTTGCTGTTCTGGTTGCCACAGATCCATCCCGACTCTAAACTCTGTCATTTTGACGGTTAACGCTTTGTTCAACGTCAAATTTTTTCTCGACACTGAACACCAAGTTGGGCAGCGTGCCATCCTCAATGAGATCCAGAATGTGCTGAAATCTTTCGAGCCTCATTCGTTCATGACGGTCTGTTAGTTCATGCCTTGTTTGCATCTTGTAAGGGGAGGTTTTGAGGTCATCTTTGAGGACTCTACGCATCGATGTCAGACTGACTCCTGCTTTTGCAGCCAATTTTGCAGCCGAGCGACGAGGGTTTCTCCTCAACTTCTCCCTCGTGTTTTTGACCAATTGTTTTGTTCGGATACTTCGTTTCCTTCCTTGACCAGGTCGATTGCATGTTTCACGAGTTTCCTTGAATTTTTCTACCACCTTCCACACAGTTTCACGACGAATTTGGAGCTTTTTTGCAACGACTGAATTTTACTCTCGCCCTTTTCATGAAGGGTTACAATTGCATTTTTATCTACTGCCATAAGTAATAGTAAATTTAGACACCTTAAACCTAGACAAACCAATTTATTTTTATGTAGTTGCCATAAATATGGCGGATCCTGTATATATAAGATTTTCACATTCTACTAACACAAAATTATTTATTCAACTAAACCCTACCCAAATCCACTGACATGTTGGGTAAAAATGCGAATATGCGTGGAAAATCAGTGCGGCACACCGCGCGCGTGCTGTTTACACCACAAAGCTTTGCTCTAAACACATCGAGCTATTCGGGGTCATCGACTGAACTCGTCGATTTTACGAGCTTATACAAGAAACGTCCCTTATGTCTTCTCGTCCCAACGTACAAGTGTCACATGTTGTATGTTTTACGCAATGTGCGTCTAACAGGGTGACTTTTGTCATGCGTTAGTGATAGGATCTATTATTTTTATTGCTTTTGTTTTATCTTGGTTAGGCACTTATAATTGTGTTGTCCGCTATAGGGTCCTGCCTTTGTTCTCTCTCATGGCTCCCAGCTCTTGCATTCTAGTGTCAGTGACTTGTCATTTAACGTTTTTTTCATTTGTTATGTATTTACGTTATAAATATATTGACTTTAATAGTTTATCATCGTTTCATGTTCAACCTGGTCTCAAATATGCCTTAAATTAAAAAAAAATAAAATAAAATATATACTTCACATCCGTTAAGTCTTATTGGGAAGTACGTACTACATGCATCCGGATTTTTTTATGTGTGGAAAGAGGACACCTACAAGCTATTGAAGAGATGTGAAGTCAATTTCGGACTTAGCTCATCACATCAATTAACTAAGAACAGTGAACATCACATCCGTGTCACAAGGTTTTCCCCTCCAATAATCCTCCAGTGTCAATACCAACTGTTTATTTTACTTTTTCTGTACTTCTTCAAACCCATAACCGTAAAATGATTTTACCTGATGAGGCAAAAAAACTGAAATTTGTACGTTTATCTTCACCTCATTCGGACGATGCATGCAAGGCTTAAAAACCTAAAATGCAGAAATAAATTACGGCGCGAAGTACATTAAGCCATTGGACAATCGCTGGTGTGTGGCAGACAAAAATACAGTGGAATAAGATCGTTCAAACAGCTTCAAGTCTTAACATTGAAAAACATTTTGACTGCTGATGATCTCACGTAAAAGTCTACGGATTTTAAGTTTTTTATTTAGCTAACTCGGGATTTTCTGAGCATTCCCACAAAACCAGAAAATCTGCAAAATATTATTCAGCTTTAAAACATACCAATTTCAATGTCTAAGTCTCGCAGGAAAATCTTTCTTGTGTATATTTTTATTTAGTCGTATTAATTATGTATATTCAAGTTTACGAGGCCATCTTCATACTCACTCATTCCTCTGCCTATACCACCTACCTCTGCAGACCAAACTGCCTAGCCAGCGTGATGCAAACAATCCGGTTAGGCTGTCAGTCAACCATGAATTAGTAAACCATTTTCGTGTGCTTACCTAATTAGTAGGTAACAACGAGGCAGAAAATCTGAATCTTAAATTTTCAACAATAGTCTCTAGAAAATTGCGTTCCGTCTCTTAGTCAAACAAGTAATTACGATATTTTTAGTTTCACGCAAAAAAATGACTGACCAAATAAAAGCTTTCGTATATTGGTAAAAAGCTTTCGTATATTGGTAAAAAGCTTTCGTATATTGGTGCACTTCAATTCACTAAGAAATTGGAGCATTTGTGTCCTTAAGACGTCATCATTCTAGGTAAACAACTTTCTCGCAAAAGTCGAACTAAGTTGGAAAATGAAATAATACAAAAGCGGAGATTATTGTGAACATATGAATGGCATCACTTTGAAACTAAATTGTCAGCCTCTGCTGGTCAGCGTTATCCACTTAGCATTGCTCAACTTAATTTTTCCTTACATTCCTATTAAAATAATTAAACCATTTCCTCCGACATAGCGAGGTACACTCACACACAATTGCTCAATTTCATATAAACATAATTACTATTTCATATAAACACATAATTACTCATCCTAATTTTCCAAAACATTCTTTTAATATCATTTCCACAAACATAGCGATGTAACCGCACGCACCTGGCGAGTGCCCGGCAGCAGCGCGATCAGAAGCAGCGGCGTCGGTCGCGTTGCTTGCCTTGGCGCTGGCGGCGCACAGCACGAGACGTTGTGTGTCTTCCTTGAGCTGATCAGCGCGATGCAAGATGTCCGTCGTGTCCAAAATTAGAAAATCTGCATCTGTTTTGACTTTCTTGATCAAATCATCACATTCAGTCGTACCCAGATGCATGCCTCTGTATTTGGTCATGTTAGGGTCCCAGAGAAACACGTAATATAGAGACAAAATAATTGCCGCCATTGACACACAAATGACGTAAGCCACAACCGTGAGTATTCGTACCATTTTCTTGTGTTTCTTCACTTCGTATCTGTAGAACTTTGTGACATCGGCATTTTTTCTCTTAGTGGTTGGGATTGTCAAGACTGTGTCGGAATCGGCACAGCCGTAGGCATTGCTGTCATTTAAACTTAAAGCCTCTTTGTTGCCTTCAGAACTATTCTTGCTATCGGTGTCGGCCGAACCTTTGCCATCAAACATCGTGTCACCTGTTGCCGTGTGCGCCATGTCGTTACCCAAGTACATTTCCAGGGTTAGAGTCCTTATTTGAAATGCTCGAAGAATATATTGAAGAAAATAATAGTTTTAATAACTATTTCCTAAATAATGTCAGTCTTTGACTTCAATTTTTGGACTATACCTTGGAATACAACATGAAGTCCATCAAAGCATTTCATAAATTAAATTTAAATTGTCTCTCAATGTTAAATTTACGAACCACATCACCTAGATGGCTTTATTAATTTGCGATTCAGAGCAGCGTGTAATGAAAATTTACTCTTGTCAAACACTACAATGCTTACTTTTTCTTCATCACACATACTCCTATGCCCCACCTCATATATTTATCACTTATACTTGTAGCCAAAGAATCACTATTTACACAGCCGACACCGGTTCACCAAAGAATCACTATTTACACAGCCGACACCGGTTCACCAAAGAATCGCTATTGACAGAGCTGACCATTTAACAGTTTATAACTTTGCTTAAGTCTCAAGTCTGCTTACGAATTTCAAGTTAGTTATTTTTTGTCATTCGTCATGCTTGAAAGTGAGGTGGAATGAAATATATATTAAGCGACATCTCCTCGGTGTGAATTATGCGAAATGATTTATTGCTTCGGCAGCCAGCACGCTGGATCGTTCTGTTCAAGCTCGAAAGATCATATTGATAATTACAGCTCAATAGACTTATTCAAAAAATTTTCTTCAATGCTGACTTCTCACACCATAAAGTTATTTTGATCTTAAATTGAGCTTTGGTAAATTCATGTGAATGATAATTATAATAGAGGTAAACAAATACGCTGCTACCTCAGCACGAAAATTCCTGTCAAACATAGAGATTTTTTCCTTTCGTCTGTACAGATACTAAAAAAATAAATTTCCCAGGACAATATTTATAACGTTTGCCCCTTGTCGTTTTCTTTACTGCGCTTGACACTCAATTAAGGCAGGGCCGTACATTTTCGTTATATAATTTTCGAACCGTTATGAAAAATTATAATTTACAGTCGTGTAAATCAGGGAAATGAGAATCTGTAAGGAAAAATGTGTTACATCAATTTCTAGCCCGTTACTTCGTTTCGGGCCTTAATCAATCACCTAAATTTAGAAGATTTTATCAAATACCCTGTTTCCTTAGTTTTAGGTGAGAGAAATGTCTATTTTTCTGCGTCAAGTATTACGGACAGTAAAATACGTAACCTTGCTACCTCGTTCTTAATTAAAAAATAATAAATTGAACGAATGGAGTGTTGTATAGATTATTTCAGTTTTTACCAGGTTTATTCACAAATCACAATTATTGAAATCGAATGGTAAAGGATCGAATGGATGTAAATTGTTGTAGACTAGTAGTAGAAGAATGATAGAATATGTTTTGGCAAAAATGTCATTTGAACTATATTCCTTCGTACAATTACTGCCAATAAAATGCGTGATTTTTATTCCAAAACATAAGTTTTAGTGATGACCACATTAGTTTCCTTAAAAACTGCAAAAAAGTTTCCCCTTGTGAAACAGAAGATGCCCGAGGGAAATAATGGCTCGACTCGTTAGTTTAGAATAACAATGGTTACTATGCCGCCATACATAGATTTTTAGCTAATTATATGAATTCAAATGTCATATTTAGTTTCCTAAATACTTAAAAATTACAATAAGAACTTCTTTACTTCACTCTTACGAACGAATTCATAACAAATCGGGCGGCGAAATATCGAGCTTCACCCTCCCCATGCGACGTCGCAATGCACACTGAAAGCGGATCGATCAGATCACATCCCTGCTGCCTCTTCTACAGTCGCAGTTCCTTGAAAGCCTCGACCCTATGGCCTAAATTCCTATTTGGGGTCAGAATTTTTTGAGTTTTCTCTAGTGTCCAATTTTCGATCCATTAAATATTTGTCAATATTGATACCACTCAATAAGAGGGTTAGAATTTAAATTGTTATCGACATCTGCGTGGTGACCTCATTGAAGTATACAAATATACTCATGGTTTATCAAGCTCCCAGATTCGTAGAATTCGGAAGAAGAACAAACAGCATGGGCCGCTGTTACAAACTAAAAATCCGCGTTACTTAAAGTTAAAAATCCGCTGTGAAAATCACTTTTCACATTTCCACTTTTTTCCTATTCATCCAATGGACAAAACTCTTCGCTTCGAGTCACCTACATGTGGAACAGCCTCTCTAATGATATTGTTGACGCTCAGAGTATGAATGCGTTCAACAACAGACTAGTCAAGTAATGCACGAGCATATGTTCAGACTTGAAGTGCATCCTACGGATCAGTAAGTATCTATTTCAAACCGACACCAGTTTTGAAAATATCTGGTCGTCGACACTGCTATGTTATGTTTGTTACGTTAGAACTAGTAAACTGATGAAGGTTGGCGCTGAAAATATGTAAGACCGCCATATGCAAAAAGAGCTGTGTTAAGGCTTAAAGCCATGGTTGAACTAATATAAAATTTATATTATTTTGTTACACTTACTTGGCGAATTTTGCCGAAGCCGATTGGATATACTACACTACCGAAACCGCAGCTTCCTTCAACGATACTTTCTTTCTCCACTAACCTGTCAACGGCCGAACAACAATTCCTTATGATTTTAATCATCGCAAGCATTCACAACATAACTTCGAGCCGATACATCCACTCAGAATCTGGCCTATCAAAAGATTTCATCATCCTCACCCAGTATCGAGATAACCTCCATGCTGCCGATCCCAATTCAGATGACGTAGCCGGTATCACTGCTTTCACAACAACATCAAGATGCCCTGTGAAAACAATAGTGCGTGAAAACACTATTGTCAGGTGAAAAAAATGGTGTGTGAAAACACTATTGTCATGTGAAAACAAGTAAGTAGTGACACTAAGCATGGCGTGAGGCCGCAACAACAAACACAAGTATTGCGAATATCTCAACCCTTCTCGGATTGCATAGGTATAATTATTGTACCTAACTGAACTCAGTACGATTATAACGTCGTAAATTTATCCTGACTGACACCATTAAAAAATAAAGTTTAGATCAATAACGAAAATTATCGTGATAATAAATGTCATACTCTTTTTAAGGTCGTGATCCTCAACATGAGGATAATGATGTGGGAAAACATAAATTTGGATTTAATTTAAAAACGTAAGGTATAACCCATTGCTTGATGGCTGCTTATTGAACTCGCATGACGCGCAGCAGAGGGCAAGTTCTTATTCCTGTTGTTGGAGATTTGTCGGTTGACACATGAAATCTATTATCAAGGAATTAGTCTGACGTATATCGTGCTTTAAGTTTATAGCAAAGTATCTCTGCTATTTTTTCGTCGTTTTGATGCAGTTGAGCCTCATGCCGCTCAAAGAGAGGAATGGGTCATACTATACAAATAGTGACGCTCTTTCCGCACTGATATGCCCAATTTGTCCGTTCAACTGGGACAGGAAGACCCAGACATGCGCAAAGTTCATTAATAGTATCTGAAGTAAAATGTATTTGAGTTGCTAACAAACTAATACAGTAATACCTGAAATGTTATGTCTTGGTGTTGCTAACAGTGCAATATATTGTGAAATGGTGTTACGATGAATGTGATGCATCGATACTTGAGGTATTAGATGATGCAAATGATGCAGAGCTGTTGCAAACAATATAATACGTTAATATATGGGACCTTGTGCAGTGGTGCCGCAATCAACGGAATGCCTGGAGTTATCTACAGTAACTAAACTATCTTATCTCATCCTGAGTTGCTCACATGTAGGGGCTGCATGTTTCCGCGGGATTTTCGTTCAGCCCTGAACTAAATTTGTTATCGTTGATCAATCGCGTGATGTTCCCTTAACTTATCAGATCGGATGATGCAAAAGATAAAAAGTCGCATTATGCAATAAGTCTAGACAGAATAGGACGTCAAGTAATTTACGTCAGCCATAGGTGCGTCCAAAAATCGATATTTCTCACCAAGCTCTACGTTATTCCAAATAAGCTATAAAAATCCGGAAGCATTGCTTATGAAAAAAGCTTACCACTATACTAGAATATCAATCATATTATTAATGAACATTAATTAAACGAAGAAAATTGAGAAATCAAATTAACTTTCGTGCATTTAACTCCTAAAATTACCACGGCCATTGTTTTTGTGATTAAGACTTGTGCTATCTTATGACTTTCAGTTTTAAGCTTGTGTGCTCATCAAAATATGCCTAATTCAATTCAGTCACTCACTGCGACGACTTGAAATAAAAATCATTCAAATTGAAAATGAATCGCTCCAAGTTATCCAATATTATTTAACATAATGCCTACACTTCGAGCGCTTCCACAAGTAAAACACAAATTGCTATATTTAGCTTTTAGCATATTGGCGGAACTGCAAGATTTACGCCTTATGCGGTTAATTCCTAAGTAACAACCTGGGGTCAATTCCTGGGATCCTATGTGAAAACGTTAAAAATTGCCTGATACTGCGGGCGTTTCGCCGATCGAACTACCTTTTTAATATCATTTAATAATTAATACCTATGCATTTCCAACTACTCTTTTATGTAGGAACGGATGACAAGAAGAAGGCTGTCATCAACTCAACCTGCTTCCTCGCAGACGAGTACTGCAGCTCGTTAGACGTGGTTGTGGTCTTATGGAGTATGAGTACCTCATTCTGAATTATAATTTTATAGGAATTATTATCAGTATATTCAATTTATAATCAATTAAACTTAATCTTCCTGTGCATCATGGTCATCATTAAATCTCTGGTGTGCCTAAGTTACTCTGTAATCACGGCACCTAGTTGGCACTTTAACAATCAAATTCTCACCGTGCTCCGGTAATGACACCACACCGAACAGTGAACACGCACTTGAAGTCAACAGCAACTGCTGAACTGCACTTAACTCTGCGCTCGTCAATGAAAAATATATAATACTGGCAAGAATTACGTTTGTAGAGTGCAATTCATGTATAACAGATAAAAAGCTTTTTGATTTTTCGATCACGCTAGAATTTAGAAAGGGGTGTCTGAGACCGTGTCTCTGAGTCTGTTTTGTTAACAAAATAGATAGTTTTTTGCTGGCGCCTGGCCGGTGGCGGACTGGCGGTGGTGGGCCGGGCAAATGGCAATAAAATAGAATAGAAGTGTCGGCACTGAAGAAATAGGCCCATGGCCTGTTGCCGATTCTTGTTCATAGAATATAATAGAAGTGTCGGCACTGAAGAAATAGGCCCATGGCCTGTTGCCGATTCTTGAATTTTTCATGACTTGATTGAGTTGATTCACAAGGCATCCAGCCTTTGGAACCCGATCTTTCCATAACTGACGATTGATTCAGTTCCGAGTACTGTTAGTAATGGATGAGTACACTCTGCATGATTCAAATGTTGTAAAATGAAGTTTTATTCCAAGTGTCCCAAGTAGCCCCATTCGACCGTTTCGACGGGGCTACCTGGGACACTCTTTTTATACTTCTGGGCCTCTGGCACCTTACAAATAGCACATGGAATTTTTTTGGATAAGCCATGTGATAGCCCTTGCAAAGAGCTTTGAAATGAGCCTAAACTTGTTTATGAAATGTTTCATGGTAAGAAGTTATGAATGAAAAACGTTCGAAATCATTCCAAGTAGCCCCGGTTGACAGTACTAAAACAGTTTTATGCCGTGTCGGAGCCTCGGACTCGGAGGCATAGTGGCAAACCAGAGCTTTTTTAGAATCAGTTCATTTTTAATTTACTCATTTACCCAAGATTTAAACAAATTTCTTAAGTATTATAATGCTGGTATCCAGGATACTTTACTGGTCTACTTATAGGACTCAAAAGTGAACTTGAGGAAGAGTCTAAAAAACTCTCTGCTTTGCCACTATGCTCGGAGGACTGTCCCGAGTTACCCCACCCGTCCCGAGTAGCCCTGGTTGACGCTGTCTTGATGGTAATTCTCCTATTTTTTTGAATTTTTTCAGAGTTTTCATATTATTACTATTCTGCAATTTTAATTTTCATTCAAGCCAGTAGTAGGGCAGTAGCCACATCAGCAATGAGTACCTCTGGATCACGAGCCTTGCATTATGTCTATAAAATTGGTGACAGGACTGCTACAGCAAAATTCTACAAAGACATACTTGGAATGAAAGTAAGGACTGTGGTTATGGAATATAATATGGATTACCATAATATTATAATGTTAGCATGTCTTTTAGCATTCATTATTGTTTTATGCTAGAAATTGGAAAGCCATAAAAATTACAATTAATTTCCAATAGTGAAACTGAATAAAAATCCACCTGAATGAAAAGTTCAGGTGGAGCACTGTGGAGATTCCCCTGAACTGACAGTGGAAGCTTAATTAAGTTGCAGAAATTTTTCCTCATGATATTTCTTGAAATTTTTTTTTTGTGTTAATCACGGTTAATTTTTTATTTTGGCTAATTAATGATGTAAATACTGAATTAATGTTTCGTTTTAGTATTGAAAATCCTCTTGACTCTTCATGAATTTTATTATTGTGCCTTTATAAACAGATTACAGATTGGGTAACTTTATGCAAAGAAATTTATAAATATATATTCAGGTGTGGACTGTGAGTGTGAGATATATCTACTTTTCAAGCTGAACTACTGAACTAGAGCTTTCCCATCATTTTTGTAGTCATAAGATCTCTGATATATTAATTATCCCTATCTATTTTTATAAGAGTGTATGATAGAGCCGTGAGATTGTTAAGCCATTGTTTATAGCGCAACAAAATTTTACTATTAAGCAGAAATTTTACAGTCTTGTGTATATATGTTCTAATGTTCAGACTTGAAGTGCCTCCTTTCTTCCACCTCATGGATCTTCTGAAGTTCTAATTTGCATTATATTGGTATCAATTTAGCTTCAACATCAGTATTGAAAAGATCTTGTCAAAAAAACAGTTTTAGATCTCACAAGCACCACACCAATTGGCCACAGGCCAATCTTGGCCTTTTCTTTAGTACTGACTATAATGAATATAAATACTTTACTACACACTATTAAGTTGATCACTATTCTCAAATGCATATTTTTCTTAATGCAATGATTTTTCAGGTTCTGCGTCATGAAGAGTTCACCTCTGGCTGTGATGCAGCTTGTAATGGGTATGTATTTAGCTGAGTAATGAACCTAGTGTAGGCCCTGAAGCATCACTTTAGGTTTGAATGCACTTTTTCTCAACAAATATTCATTATTTGTTTATGTAATAAATTATTATAAACTTGTTCATTCCCATTTGGAAAAGGTTCAATGTAATAAATCATGATGTCATCACTTGTATTTAATATTAACTAATTTTGTTACTGCTGTTGAATTACTGAGAGAAATTTTGAAATTTATTCCTTAAATAATTTCTAAAAAGTTAAAAGTTTGGCAACAGCTTCCTCAAGATGTATAAATTTACAAATAAATGTAGAGATGCATTCGAATCTATAAGAATTGTGCCTTTGAAAACAAGGATATAATATTCTATACTACCATACCTATAATAAATCATACGGTATGTATGTATATCACTCTGAAATTTGAAGAGAGTGTCTATGAAAACTTTGCAATTTGTGACTCATGGAAACAGATTCATACATATTTTTCCCAGATATATAACATCCCATCACATTCTCTACTAACATGTTTCAGTCCTTATGATGGCAAATGGAGTAAGACCATGATTGGATATGGATGTGAAGATGATCATTTTGTTTGTGAACTGACTTACAACTATGGTATCTCTGACTACAAGCAAGGTGAGACTAATGTTACAGAACTTAAAACATTACCTATTTATTTATGCTAACCAATTTTTTCCAATAAAAATGATGAATATAACTTTGCTGTGATAACGATTATAGATTAGGTATATAGTCCTTAATCAATAGTAATTCATAGCACTATGTTATGTTCATAAACAATAATTAACACTTTCCCCCCATATTGGGCCATATGTGTACCAACAATGATATTCCACTGCTGGGTATTGGGACACCAGTGTACCAAACACAATATTTTATGCGATTTCAATAAAAACACATAACTTGAAATTTTGTTGGTAAACTTTCTCTCTTGGAATATTTATGTTTACCCAAATGGTTGATTGCAAAATTTGTGCAATCCAGATATCCAGCCTTGGGGAACATGCTAAAAGCTCAATTGTAGCAAATTTAAACACATGTGTTAAGCTTATGTTTAGTCCTGCTTTCATTCCAATAAATTATCATATTTATTGATGAAATTAAATCAATGTGTTTAATTAGTGCATATGATGTTCTTATTGAACGCTACCAAATTTGCATCCATGCAGCTCATATTTCTTTCTTTATACCCAGGCAACAGCTTTTTTGGATTGTACCTGAACTCGGCAGAAGTACTTGCTCGTGCTGCTGCTGCAGGCATCTCTGCAACCCCAGTGCCTGGAGAAGATGGAGTCAAGATGTTGGATGCCCCTGGTGGCTACAAATTCTTTGTAAATGAAGGAAAATCAGCAAGAAAAGGTAGAAGGTTTTTGCTTTTCGTAAATTAAGCCTTCCTCTAAAATCAAGGTTAGGTAAAGCAATCATCTGTGAATGCCAGAAAAATAACTTTTGTGGTTTTGTATTTTTTGAAAATTTTCATTCTCAGACAAATCTTGCTGTGTTGTAGGTACTGTACTATTGATGTATAAAAACAGAATGGTTTAATTTTTGTCTTTGTCAGGACTTGGAATTAATTTATTTGCAGTAGAAACTTTGTAGTAAGTTCAAAATTTGTGCTCCACATGTTGCAGGCATGTCAATTTTTATTACAACACTTCTCTTTAACTTCACTTCTTGTTGTTTGTTTGTCTGCCACAAATCTTATACTGTAATCAAAATTAAAAAAATTTAACACGCTTCTACTTATCCTATCGATCTGAAATTTCGCACACTTGCGTAAAGTTGGAGACAATGCATGAATCAATTAACAAAATGAATAATTTTAAAAAGTAAAAAAAAAATTTCAATATTAAAAAATAGAAAAAATAATTTTGTCAGCTACAAATCTTATAATTGATATTTGAAACACTTTTACCTGTCCAATTGTTTTGAAATTTTGCATACTTGTGTGAAGTCGAAGGCAATGCATGAATCAATTGACAATAAATAATTTTGAAAAAAAAATTTTATATATTGAAAAAAATGAAAAATTAATTTTTTAGTATTCGAAAATAAAATTAGAAATTCATTGTACATATGTAACATTGGAGACACTGGATTCTTTAGAAGTGTTGTCTTTAAAAAGAAGTAATTTTTAAACGTATATTATTCCCTTGAAAATCTCTTTCTCCAGACCCAGTCTACAAAATAGCCCTGGCTAGCAGTGACCTGAGTGCCACCAGTGCATACTGGGCTGGGCTACTGGGCCTGCGCAGCTTGTCTGGTTGCCCGGACGGCGTGGCGCGATTCTCCTTCTCTGATGATCAGGCAACGCTTGAGTTCAGGCAGATTGGTAAGGTTTTTATCTCTTTCTACCAGAAGCTCAATTTGTGGAAATATGCATTTATTTACTAGTATAAATATCTTTTTATTTAAAAGCAATCCTAATTTGGTATTATGCAGTGTTTTCTTTCAATAAAATTTTGGAAGCAAGACTTAGAATATAATATTTACTGAAGTAGGTAGTTATTGTGTTCACTGCAATGGCTATGTGAATTCAAGTTCAAATGCATTGACATTCCCATCAATTTTGTAGACGGCAAAGTTGACCATGCAAAGGCTGGTGGACGAGTTGCCTTCTCTTGCCCCTCATCCCAACTGAAGAGCATTGAAGAGAAGGTAAAAGATGCCGGCCATACCATCCTCACTCCCTTCATCTCCCTCGACACACCCGGCAAGGCCACGGTCCAAGTTGTCATACTCGCCGACCCTGTGAGTCCCAACCCCCGCGAAATTGAAAATCATATCCTAGGCTCGCTTTTTTAGCGCTTTTTAGACGCTCTGTCCGTCCGTCTGTCTGTCCGTCCGTGACTTCACGTTTTATGCACTATTGTGCTCGTCATGTCCGTCTGTCCATCTGTCTGTCCGTCCGTGACTTCACGTTTTCGTCGACGAGAAAATGCGCTCTCTATCACTCACTGCAGTGAGTACCGAGTTGTAATTTTTTATTTTGTCTTCACTATTCAGATCAGAATGAAATCAAATAACTTTGAACAGCAAATTGTCCTGAGTAGTAAAACGTTTCCATTTTCACAAAAATAGTTTCAAGGAGAAAATTCGGCATTTCTAGTAAGATGAGTTTTGAAGTGCAGCTACACTATTTAATGGAAAGGGTTTCCAAACCTTTTTTTAATCTATTGAACTTTCCGCGCATTTTCTTTGCTTTTCACTTGATTTGCAATTTAGGAAATCAACATCTTAGTTCTGATTTGTGCGCGACGCTATTGTTTTCATCCAAATGAGCAGTATTATTTTGATATAATTTGCAAGTTTATTCTAATGAATTTTCTATTCATAACTGGATGTTGAAAGTTGTTTGTTTTTCAGGACGGACACGAAATTTGCTTCGTTGGAGACGAGGGCTTCCGAGAGCTATCCCAAGTTGATCCTGCAGCTGACGCTCTTCTGTCGAAGGCGCTGCAAGAGGACCAGAGTGACTCCTGGTTTGCAGAGCATGGTGGCAAGCAGAGCGAGAACTAAACCAGCTTGATCTTTAAACGTCTTCAATTGAAGATAATTGTTTCATGAATCATTCAAAGTAAATTGCTCATCTGTTGATTTACTGGTGCACACCGGGGTATGTCATATTGCCTGAGTGAAGGAACTATTCCAAACAACAATTTTAGGTGATACAATGTTTTTGGGCCTTGTAGTGACCGCAGAAACCCTTCTTACTTCAATATTATTTATAAATTCAATAGCTGTATTTGGACAGGGCCAAAATTGCCTTAGACTACATATGTAATTTACTATAACTTGTTCAGAGCGACTTTATACTTGAAGCATTAAATTATCAGTTAAAGATACTTTTTGGTTTAAATTAAAGACACTTATTGGTTAAGTCCAAAAATTTGTTTGGCACTTTAATACCCAGTGTACAAATGTGCTTCAGTCGCACTTTAGCTCCTCGGAATAACCTGGAGTGCTTATTATGATTATTTCTGTATCGATTATTTAGTACATACGAGATGCTAGATTCGTGAGTTTGAGCATTCACTTTTCCACCAACAAGTCTATATATAGTAAATTTAATTTACATTATTCCTAGCATATGAATGATCAGTATTGCTGTGAGCTTCCATTTCCATTAGACACGTCGCTTATTATTTCCTAAATGTTAACTGTTGTAAGAATTATTAAATTTCAAGCAATTCTCGTGTATTGCCTTCTCTGTATTCTTTTTATATAATATATGAATGAAGTAATCTCATCACAAGATTGTGTTCGTTTCGTCTGTTTGAATTTCATTTGTTACAATGTTCAGTTGCTGTTATAAATTAATGCTCGTTATTGTTACGAATGAAGATCGTTCGTTTCTGAAATTGTTTAATTAATCCTGCTAAAAGTTTATTAATGTATTAATGCAAAATTTACCGATATGAATAACTTAAATTTAAGCTTTGTCGCCTGCATTACGGACAAATTAGTTCAGCTTAATATTTAAATATTTTTTTGACATTAGCCTTACGTTTTTTCACTTGAAACTTGAGTTTTTTCATCGTTCTGTAAATCACTTTATATAAAATAAAAAATTACACCATACTTGTACTAATAATTTAGATGCATTGCGTTGTGTATTCTGCACTTCTTCAATTTGAAACACTTGTTATACTGCAGCTTTTTATTGATCAAGATTTTCGGTCTCGGTTATGGGCGCATATTTTAGTGGTACTGAACATCTTCTGTTAACGCATTCCAATTACATGCCGTTTGTTCGGGCTTCACAATTTACTCTGCTTTTTAAACTGTCACCTGTACTTGAATTATAAGATTATTTGGAGGTCCTTCTCGTTCTTACTTGAGCATTGTATTATTTTAGTTATTTTATATCGCTCATATTATTCTAGCACCTTAGCATTATCTACACGAATACATGTTGTACTCTAATACTTTAAAGATAATTGAATAAAACAACGTATGACGAAAATATCTGTATTTACATACATTACCAATTCGTTACATCGTCATTGCGCGTTAAAGAAGCATTCGTTATAGTATTGTACACCTTACACCTATATCGATGTTTGGTTATAAACTCTTTAGTTTTAATGCAGTTTTAGTAGTAACAAAATAAATGATAATATTTACATGCCTTGTTTGCTACTCCTCTTGCCAATTTTAATTGCATTAATCATTTTCATGTAGACAACAGCAGATGGAAAAGCTCTTGACATATTCACTTAATTTTTAACTGCATTGCGCCGCGAATTTGTGAAGTCGTTTTGAAACTCCTAACTTCCCACCAATTTATTAACGCACAAATGGACTCTCTACTTTCCGGTCAAAACTCTACATATTAAAATGAACGTTCGAAGGCTTGCTATCTGGCAACAAGTACCCTTTAAAGGGATAACTTCGTAAAATTCGTTCAGTGATTGTTCATTATTTATACACAAGCTGTTGGTACCTTGATGAGAAATTAGGTTGACGGTACAGGTTCCAGAAAATTTATTGGCGTTACATGTACGAAAAGTACGTTGCGTGTGAAAAAGTATGTTGCGTTCCACTCTATAATCAACTCACGTTGATTATAGAGTGGACAAATACACTCAAATAACCGCACACTGGTAGTGGAAGTATTCTTGAAGTAAATATTCATAATTTTTAAGGATCTTATTCGCACTAAAACGCCACGTTTTGCCTAAGCGTTACGAGTTATAGTTTACTTTGCTGCTCATGCGCACACGCAGACCTCGTATCAGTCGGAAGCGCAGCCGTATGCCACAAATCTAACTCTTAAGTAAGGCGCGGAACCAAAGCTCAGCCTCATTATGTCATATCTTTACTCAGCCACAGAAATAGAAAACTCAATGTGCTGGAACACCGTAATCCAGACCACTTACATGCTGCTTAAAGATAATAACGTCGTACGTTTCAATCAATACCTCAGCTTGCTCACTCATAGGCTTGCAGTTCCGTATCCGGTGCACCTACTTCGGCCTAACCTCTTCTAGCCTAACTTGTTCACGCTGTCCCAGCTCACAACCTTGCAATTAGGATCTAGCTCTACCACCTCACTTGAACCAGCATACTTCTTACTTCCTGCAGACAATAAGGTTGGATTGCGCCCGCTCAGATTTTTGTTTTGTGGATAAATATTGCAACTTGTGTGGTTAGGCCACATGCAGTATAGCCATGCTTACTTTTAGCATGCTTAAGTAGTTTTGTGTACAACCGGCGTTATAGTTCTCTGAGCAGTTGACTTAATTGACTGCTTTACCCTCTGATGCTCTTACCCACGGAAAGAAATATGAATCACGCGTGAACAACAAAGAATATGAATCAAGTGTGAACTTTTAAGCAAAGCTGGCCTCTGCATGGTATGCGTCCCTGCCGAAACGTACGTGAGTCGATGAAGCAATCTATCGCATGCGCAATATTCTGAAATACATGATTTTCCTGTCAAATTGAAAGAATTATTCTAATAAATGTGTACAGAATGCATTGTGACACTTTTTCGCCCTGAAATATCTCTTATGATTCGCCCTGAAATCTCCAGCTGATATATTCCATAAAAAATTTAATCGAAAATGTTTCATTGTCATGTTTTGTTTGTCACTTCTGCGGGTGAAAAATTGGATTTGACCAAGAAAACTCTCCCCATTGCTGTTTTATTGATTCAAAGCTGCAACAATTTATGTTTAAAAAACCTCAGCATGTGTTCAGCAAGCATTATCATTTGTGAGTATAACTAGACTCAACGAGTTGTTTTTTAAACTGAGAAATCGACTTACAGCAAATGGCTTACCAGGCTGATATTTACGATGTTGAACAGCTCTGAATGCTCTACATAAAAAGTAAAATTGTATGCGCTTACAAGACATACTGGCACGAGAATATCCCGACTTTCTACTCGCTTAACCCTTAGATTTAATCTACTAGATGAATAAGGTGAAAAATAAAGTTTATCGAATAATGATTATTATCAGAGTCCATCATCGATTTTATCGCAAATAAATCACGAGGCGATCGACCGTCTTCAAATTCTAGTTTACGAGCTGCGTAATATCGCTGTAGAATCTTTGATTCGTTTGATATCTATAATGTTCGTTTCATATCTAATTCTAGGTTCGTTTGGTATCTAATGGGAAATTTTACAGGCTATCCTATGAAATTTTATGTTTTTTAATGGAATGCATTATAATTTGAAGCCTATTAGATCCTTGACTAAATATATACTTTTCTCTTTCGATATTTAAACAGTGACCATTTAAATCAATGTATGTTTTAAATTGAAATTTAGAATTCTGCGTAAACGATCCCTCAAGTCATTATTTTTTTCATCGCTCCAGCCCGTGTCAAGATTTTTATTAAAGAAAATATTTCTGGGTTACTTAACTATATCACGCGTAACTAAAGTGTTGTTGCAGTAGAGCTTCGGACAGCAGTCAGGGAACGGTTTGCCCTCCACCCTCACGATATAGCAATCGCTGCTCACGATCGCCTTCGGCTCCATACATCTGCAGGGCATGGCAACGTTAATGTATTTGATTGGTAAGGATCAGATATTACAGATAACCTGTAATGTTCCGTCACAGGTTAAGTTGGGATATTAGAACTAACCTGGGATGTCCCGTCAGATTTAATTTGGGTATTACAGCTAACCTAAAATATATATTCATAAGGTCCTTTAGGATATTAGGATATATTAACCTGTAATATATAGTCACAGGTTTAAATAAAATATTACAATTAACCTGTAATATCCAGTTGCAGGTTAGATTTAGGATATAACAGCGATCTGTATAATTTCTTTACAGTTCATTCTGTTTTGCCAATTTATAAAGTTATTTTTCACTTTTTTCAATTTATTACGTGCCCTCGAAGTTCTGTTGTACCAGGCATTCCAATTTTTTATTCAACTAATAATAATGATAAAAGCACGGCAATGAAGCTTTTACGCATCCCTCTACTCACCCCTCTACTCACCCCTCTACTCACCCCTCTACTCATCCCTCTACTCACCTCTCTACTCACCCCTCTACTCACCCCTCTACTCATAACGTGATAACAACGTAATAACAACGTGATAACAACGTGATAACAACGGCCTTATATAACGTGATAACAACGTGATAACAACGTGATAACAACGTAATAACAACGTGATAACAACGTGATAACAACGGCCTTATATAACGTGATAACAACGTGATAACAACAGCCTTATATAACGTGATCACAACGTGATAACAACGGCCTTATATAACAACAACTTCGTGATAACAACGGCCTTCGTGATCTGGGCGAGAGGGCAAGAAGTTACTGAGTCAAATAATAAGTCAAATAAATTTAGCAAAACTGAATGCGGTGAATAAACTTCATATTCAAGACTGAGAACAAATATTGCAGCCGATTTAGAGCCGATTAGAGCCGATATTGCAGCCGATTTAGAGCGGCATGCTCCTGGAGCTAATAAACTTGCAGAATTTGCCGAAGTACATGCAGCGGCCTATGTACACGTAGAGGCCGATTTTCGGTCTGCGATTGGTGGATTTATCTTTACAAGCAGTCAGGGATTGGCTACCTGGCTTATGATTTTTGAAAGTAAAGCCCCTGCATGTCTCGCTGCTCCTTGTGCCGCATCACGCCGTCGGGTGGTAATGTTGAACCATTAATAATAATTAAAATAATTGTTTTATTAAAATATTTTTTGACTGGTGACAAAATATATTCTTTTCTCTGTCGATATTTAAATGTTATCTTTTTAAATCAATGTAGGTCTTAAATTGAATATTAAAATTTCAATAACGCTTATTTGAAATCAGTATCAACATGTAATTTTTTTATTTAGCTCATGTTAACGTTTCTTTTAGCTGCTTATTTTTTGCCATACATGAAAATACTTGCATCTTCTGTATTTAAATTTATGCATTTCCTGTATGTATTTTTGCACTCTTAATTTAGGTTTAAATTGATTGCTTTTCTCATGACGCATTTGCTGCTAAGACTTGCACTCATTGACGTCATCTATGAGTCGATATACTGGGCTGAATGCACACTCAGAAAAATAAATAGGTCATACTTCCCAAATATTGTCACACTGTATACTCTTGGCACTAATACGCTATTTTTCCTGGCCAAACACACACACGCAGGATGACACATACAAGGGCAATCAGTGCATCGATATTCGGAAGAAATCTCACTCATTTCTCTGTATGCATCAATTGCCCGTCAGTGTTGTCTCAACACTATAATAATATAGCGGTTTCAGTATTTATTAGGCCATAGGCCTGTCGCCGATTCTTAACATCGCAGAACATCCACAGCTTGCTGTGGGCTTGAACTCGCAACTCGCTGCTTCAAATTTTCTTTGCCCGGCCTCCTCGCCGATTCTGACCAGAAACTGGCGCACAGAGCTGGGATCGAACCCGCGCCTCTCTGCACCAATCTTGGTACTCTGAACTGGTCAATTTCATGTCCGGATTGCAGAACGACTCCATTTTGTTTTCCAAGTATTCGCTCCATTGCATGAATCTCAGTTTAACAAAAAAGTCAAAGGCAAAGATAAATCGCAAATGGTCACCATATCAAATAGAAAACAATTTCGTACTCTAACCATTCAGTTAATTTATAAGGAATTTTCTTCACTTTCAAGTTCTTCCTTGTTTAGTTTAGTTTCCGGTATGAGCTTCTGAGTCTGCACTGAATCAGCCGAAGTAAAGACAAGAATCTTTAAACCAAAAAGATTATTTATAATACCACGTCTCGCATTCCTTACTGAAGGAACTCAGTGACCCATCATTTTCTAATTTGATTGATAAATAATAACATATGACTTGAATTTGGCTCGACGTGTCATCAGAAATTCTTTTCTCGCGAAAAAAAGATAAAAAACTGTAGATCAAAATAAAAAATCAATAAAAAAAAATATCGGCTAACAAAATCAGAAGCAAAATAGCAGGATTTCTGAAGCCTCTAACTAAACGTGATGGAAATCGTGAGATTACAATTCCAGTCAAGAAGATCGATTCCTGGAACTCCCCATTCCCAAAGCTCGTTAATATTAATTACTTTGCCACAGTGAAAAAATCTTGAGACTTGTACTAAGCGCTTACACGAATCCTTCTGTACAATAAAACATTA